GGAGACAATGCATGAAACAAATGTCAAAATAAATGATTTTAAAAATTACAAATTTTTTTTTTTAATTAAAAAAATTGAAAAAATAATTATGTCAGCTACAAATCTTATAACTGATATTTGACACACTTTTACCTGTCTAATTGATCTGAAATTTTGCACACTTGTATGAAGTCAGAGGCAATGCATGAATCAATTAACAGAATAACTAATTTTGAAAAAATTTAGATATTAAAAATTTTTTATATATTAAAAAATGGAAAATTAATTTTTTTAAATATTCGAAAATTAAATGAGAAATTCATTGTGCATCTGTAAGATTGGAGACACTGGATTCTTTGGAAGTGTTGTCTTTAAAAAGTGATTATTACTGTAGCGGTAGCGGTAGCGCCCGCTGCAATCTAGTGGGTGTAGCGGTAGCGGTAGCGCCCGCTACATTTAGGGCATGTAGAAGTAGCGGTAGCGCCGCTACATTTCAAAGTAGCGCTGCCCAGCTCTGCGGCTATCGATCTGAAATTTTGCACACTTGCGTAAAGTTGGAGACAATGCATGAATCAAATGATAAAATGAATTATTTTAAAAATTACTTTTTTAATATTGAAAAAATTTAAAAAATAATTTTGTCAGCTACAAATCTTATAACTGATATTTGACACGCTTTTACCTGTCCAATTGATCTGAAATTTTGCACACTTGTGTGAAGTCGGAGGCTGAAGTCAATTGACAGAATAAATAACTTTGAAAAAAAATTATATTAAAAAATTGAAAAATTCATTTTTTTTAATATTCGAAAATAAAATGAGATATTCATTGTACATCTGTAACATTGGAGACACTGGAGTCTTTAGAAGTGTTGTCTTTAAAAAGTAATTTTTGAACGTATATCATTATTAATTAAGTTAAAGAATACTTTAGAATTTTATTTACTCCGCATTGGACTGATTATCTGATTACAATAATTTTTGAGAGATTTAGAGGCAAAGTTTATGTGATTTCAACGAATCTTTGAAGTTTTAAGGGGCATAGAATAACTGAAAGCTTGCTTGCACAAAGTTTCAAAAAACTTTGTTTTGTGAGAAATTACCTTACCCTGTGCATTGGGCGAGGTACTAGAAACAATCGAAAGATCTAAAACTAAAAGGCTGGCGACCTGACAGAGACTACGAGAACATAAACATTAAAAATAACAGCAACAATAATATAATAATGCTCATAATAATAATGTAAATGATACAACTACTTGAGTTTCGAATCTACTGTAGTTACTCCAATCTTGTAATTACTGTCCTGAAGCTCCCACAGAAAATCCTCTGTTGTAGATCAACTGCGCCCAGCCCTCCATGTCCTAGCATAATCTATTCATCTAACGACGTTGCTTCAGAATATTTGTTTCTAAAGCAGCTTTCACACAGGGCTAGAAATACCGCGCGCGTCAAAAATGCCGCGGCAGGATTTACCGCGCAATCTTTCGCACGAGGCGGTTTTTACCGCTGGGATCTATCAGTCTTGCAGTGCTTTATGCACCATCAGTCTATCTCTATGTTTATCATATGTAACAATATTTCTATATGGAAATATATCTCTATGTGAGATAATGTAAATACATCTCTATGGAAATACCTAAATATTTTATGGAAAATATATCTTTCATGAAATATATCTCAATCACTTTATGGAAATCTATATTTAACAATGTATATCTTTATGTTTATGTAACAATATTAAGCAAGTTTTGTTAAAGACCAGAGAATTAGTTTTATTTATTAGCTTCTTGTAGAAGCTAATAAATTAAAGTATTGTAGTCTATAAATTTTCTTGCAATAAAGAAGGTTGTAGACTTCTTCCTAATATGGACTACATCGGGCTCACAACCACGACTCTAAGCCGACGTCTCACGTGCCACCTTCAGTCCGGAGGACCATGGAATCACTTGAAGGAGGCCCACAACGAGACCATCACTCGCCCGATATTGGAAGAATGCACCAGTATCGTTATGCGATGCCCCGATCCTATACGACTGGCGATAGCTGAGGCCCTCATCATTAAGGAGAGGACTCCAGCTATCAACTTTCAAACCACAAGCTTCGTCAGAACTTTGAGATTGTTTTCCGAGTAGTTTTTTGCGCCTGTAAAATCTTCCTGTAGTATCACATTAACGAAATTTTAGCATTATTTGAATGGTATCCAATTTACTTGATTTCGTTCATATGTCAACCCGAATTTTGTTACTCTATGCGTCTTTAACTTGAAAATGAATGTTGTACATTCGAAACGTCGTTCAATATTAAAAATGTCTATCGGTAATTTGATTTTCAATCTTCCAACACCTACGAAGAATTTAGTACGACTTATTGAAAAAACTAACAAGAAGCTAATAAATAAAACTAATTCTCTGGTCTTTAACAAAACTTGCTTAAGAGAAGAAATTCTGCCAGCCTATACTAATAGTAACAATATTAATGTACCGATATTTATGTTACAATATCAGTCTATAATCTATCTGTCTAGCAGTGCTGTTTATTATGCACCTAAAGTACTGCCCCCACTGTCTGATAGGATGTGGCGTCAAAAACCGCCCAGTGTGAAAGATTTCATTGAATACCATTGCAAGCTGAACTGTCGCGGCAAATCTACCGCCGCAGTTTTAGCGCGACACAAGCGGGCGTCAGGCGTCAAATTCTCCGCCGCGGTAAAAGCAGTCGTGTGTGAACAGCAGTGCTCATTTCTTATGTCCGCTAAAATTCGGCGGTAAATACCGTCGGACGCTGGCAATATTTACTGCCCTAGTGTGAATGGGGCGTAACATGCTAGTAGTCTCATACCTCAAAAGACAAATCACATCACGGCACGGTGGCCGATTGGCCAAACGTTACCACAGGCACAGCTTACCCGCGGTAAGCTGTGAAAATTCTGTGATGCTCAGAATCAACGACTGGCCTTATTGCCTAATCTCAGACACTGACAGCGCTATTATTTGTTTTATTATTAAATGAACATAACCGATCAGCTCACAGCAAAAAGCCAGGAATAGTGTGGACCAGCATCTTCCGTCACCGCATACATCTATCTTGGTAATAATTTTAGTGCTTAGTTTAAGTCTAATACTTTCATCACTAAAAACCAGTATTATGATTCTTACCATCTTTTCAACTTCCCTTATCTATTCATTACTTGCTTATTGCACAGAATTTGACAGTGCAAAAATCGCATTTATCGCATTGTTCTCTCTCACCAACTAACAACAAAGATTGCTGCTTAGATTGTGAGGCTTTCAGTATCATTCGAGAATTCCACTGAGAGTTTAAAGTTTTCTTGATTTTTATTGCAAATTAGGACAACGATTTGAGTGAGGATCGTGTCATGTTGTCTCGAATAGAAATGACAAAACGCATGTGTTTATCGCTAACCATGAGACGCGTCACCCCTCCTATTGTAAAGGAAAGGATCATGTGGTAGGAAGAAGCATAGGAGGCTCAAATCCCAAAGAGGTGGGGAAAAGTATGACTGCTCAACTATAGGTCATTAAATGGGCTCACGGTAGTCTAGGGAGTTACACCTGCCTGTTCAGACTTATTAACCTTCATATTGTTTTCTCTCCTAAAAATGGACGTTTGTGAAAGGTAAGGTTTAAAAATACTCATCTGCACCTAGTTATTTTTTATTCGAAACGAAAGTAGACGCTCCTCAAAGTATGGTCGCGGTTAGCGATAAAAATCGAAGCAATTTTCAATGCTCCAGTCCTAAGCGGACACGCATCGTAAGCTGATTTGTACGTGCATCGCTCGCACAAATTTATAAAAAGTATACATTCGCGCGATTACAAATGCATTGCCGATTCATTGGCTATAATACTTACCATTAAAATTTTGTTTGCCAAACGTAAAGCCAAACGTTATAAGAGTAAAAGGTACACGATACTGAGAGGAAACAATTGATGTTACGGACAAAGAGAAGTAACTTAGCGTCTTTGTAACTGGACAAACAAGTCAGTCCTAAATAAGACATTTAAATTGAGAATTAAATCAAAACTTTTTAATTGTATTTGGTCAGTTTTCAACATTTCAAAGATGTTAATAAGAAAATGAAAATAATGCGTGCTGAGAGGCAAATCAGCCGCGAAATAATTCTGCCTTCCAAGCATCGCCAAGTCAAGGACTAGCTAGAACTGCAGGCTGTGTTAACCGCTTTAACGGAATTGTTCTTCCCCTTGGAGAAGAGCAACGACGAATGAATTTATAAAATTCGTTTTCTCTGCCAAGGAAAAGGTCACAGGCGCCAATTTTAGCAAACGTCAAGCATAAATTATTTATCTCCGGTATGAATTGAATGGCAGATTAGTCTTTTAAATGACTAACTGTAATATAAGTTCTTATATATTTTTAGTTTTATTTATGTAAACTTGAAAGCAAGCGATTGGTGAATGCTGCCTTATCTGATTGATCGTCAAAACGTGAATGGCTTGTCTTGTCTCATATTATAATGAGATATCTGGTTTCATCTCGTACCTCGATAGAATGTATCGTATTGTTATGTTACGGTTCGTATTTATCTCTAAGTCCCGTAACATTTTAAAATATCTGGGACACATTTTCAATATTCCAGGATACAATTATTATTGCCCCAGCTCATAACTTTACTCCGGTAAATTTTTCCTTTATCTCGATCCATTTTCGTGGACTTTTCCCGTCTTACCTTGTTGTCCCGGTTCGTTTCGAGAAAATGATCCCGAGATACAGGAAACTATTTATATATCAATAGAAAATATATTGTAAGTAAAGTTTTGTAAGTGAAGTTCCATAGGATAAACTCAGCAAGTCTGGAGGTGCAGTCAGGGCGAGCGACAGAGCGCAAACGAAATGTTCGTACACAACCAACCATTCGAACAAGTTACCGAAGCCAGTAATGATCAAGACAAATACCAACGAATGAAAAATGAAACAGTGTGCACAGTACACAAATGTTTAAAATTTATGTATTGCTATTTAAACGATAATTATAATATCACTAAAAATATACAATATTTATAATATTTGCTTTTATAATATGTCACTAATTTATGTGTAACCCTCTTGAAGACAAATTTAATGATGAAACTGAGAATAACAATAAAAATTGCTATGTACATATGGCCTTTCTAGTTGGCAGATTTTATATTTACGTTTACAGGTGCATCATTTTGAACGATCCATGTATTCACAATACGATTTTCTGTCTTATCTGTCGACTCGTGGGTCGTTAAGGTCATGTATAGTGAGCAGCTTAGAATTGAACACCGACCGAAATAATGTACCAATTGATATATTTGCGTTCCTTTATATCAAAAACATTGAATACTTGTAGAGGTGCGTGAAGCAATACTGCTCATTTACATTCGTCAAACATCAATTCTGAAAGTGATTCAGTAGCACGTTTAGAGTTCACTAATGCAGCGTCGTTTCCATATGAAACAGGCGAAGTCAAATAATGACTATCTGAACAAATCGATGATCTAAAACTATTATCTTAGAACTTAATCAGATTCATACGCTTTATTAACTGTGCCGTCATTATCACCTTTTTCTTCGTTGCTCTCGAAATTTTCTTCTTCGCTAATATCTTTGCTTATTCCTTCGTCCGATTTTTGACGTTTGGCGTTCTCCTTGGATTCGACTGACACGGACCATCCAACTTTGCCGTTGACAGAGCGTTCTTTCCTGGCTTCGACGTTCTCGGGAACGTCGCGTTCTTCTGAGTTTTCTCGAGATCCTTCCCCGATGATGTTCATTGGCTTAGTTCTTTCGGGCCTTTTATTGACAAGGTTAGATTTGCGCGATAAAGTTCTTTCCATGAGAGGCACCTCAATGCTGAAGTTGATCGCGGACAAGAGGATGGTGGAAATACGCATCTTATAATTGTTATAGTCATCGTAGAGCCAGTTCGAGTCTGTGTGAACGACAAGGTTCTTCTCAACCACTGGTCCGGTCGGAGGAGCTATTTTCGCTGTTTCTACATCGTACTGCTTGGTTTTATCCGATAAAATGATGAATCTGAAAAAGAATACGTTTCATTCATTTGATACAAAGGAGAGACATGTAATTTCAATAAAAATTTAATACCATTTGCTCTCATCTTTATACAGGCTAACTTCTACAAATCACATAAACTCACGCAAAAATAAAGGCCATGAGACAGTTGACTGCTGCGCCGAAGTAGAACTGAGCGCCGGGGAAGACCGCGACGGTCGAGTGGTAAACGGCCGTGTAGAGGGAGAAGCTCAGCATGGGCATGACACCGTCAAGCGCCCCTAGCACGGCCGACACTTTGCCTGTGTGGCAGACCAAACTCGTCAACACAAGCTATGCATTGCAACATCTGTACGGGAAAACTTAATTAGAGATAATTTATTTATGACCAAATGATTAGCCAGCATTTCCTGCCAGGGAGTTGAAAGCCATGGAGAATATATGGGATTTAAGAACCTGTTTAATGAAATTTTAAGGTTAATTCAGTTTGAACATGAGAAGAAATCTTACTTGTGAATTAACCTCAATGCAGCTATGCTTTTTATAAAATTGTTTGCTCCGTTTCGTATGAGGATTCAACTCGAAAAAGTTAAAAGTTTAAGTAGGTCATGTTGCTGAATTTCGTACCTTATTAGACAAATGAATCGATAAGTCAGCTCATTATAAGCGAAAGGATAAATATTCTCTCCTTTGCGTACAACGTTCGCGTAAGTCGGGCTATAAATTTTTTTTCGTATGAATGAACTTGAATTTTTTAAGGGCAGGCCTTCTAAGCAGCGTGACCTTGTAGCTCTGGCTGACTGCAGGCGCATAGGCGGGGTCAGTGCAATATTGCAATATTCCAGCACAACGCATGCAGGCGGCGAATGTGGTGCGCTTGACCACGAGGGAATATGTTTGTTATGCTCGTTCCTTTCTTTCGCTGTTTTGAACGCGAATATAATCTTTACATTGCAAAAATTTTCTTATGACAATATTAAAACATAATATTTTTCATGCTTGTTTTTGAACTTTACCAATGAAAGTGATTACTAACTATACCTCAGATAAAAAATCTAATATTGTTCTAGCAATTAAAGTAGCTGAATTCACAGTTAGATAAATGGTCATTTGCACTGAATTAAGTTAAAATTCAATCTATGTAAAAAGACTTGAACTTCACTCTTTTAAGAGGCTCGATAAATACCAAGGAAGGCCATTAGTCAAAATTTGTGACCATATCAACACTGCCTACATAAAAAGTCTTAGAAATTTTTATTTTTCAGCACTTATCCCATATTTCTATGAGTATATAAGCGTACTCGGCTGCACTAAATAATTGTCGAAATTAAATGCGTTCCGGAATAATTCGCATGCTTCCTCAACTACGAGTGTGTGACGCGTGACACATGAATGTGCCTTCGACGACTCAGTTGTAGCTAAAGAAATGCCCTGTCTCAAACTTGCCGCAGGTCTTCTGACAAGGTAAAACAGCTGCCGCAGATTCGGTATTTAGCGCTCGTTCAAATGGTGTCGAACAATTGTTCAACTTGCAGCTCAAGTTGAACAATTGAACATGTCCTTCGCATACAATATCAGCCATTCTATTCTTTATTAAAACTATAGAAGATGAGCCTGCATGATTATGTTGCAGCGCAGAGATGTTAAATAACAATTGAGAGCAACTTCACAAATGATACGCAGACTCGCTTTGTTCAACTTACTAAATTAAATCGTATTTTAACTACGACATTATATTCACCTGCACATATTTTAAACTAAGGTAAATATCATAAATTTGGCTTGATTCAAGAATGAAATACTATTTAGGATGTAATAATTTTTCCTAACATGATCCAATATGGTATGCCTGCCCTATGGGAGTGATGCCTCCGTCACACTAGCCAAAACCAAGATGTATTAATATCATTCGCATTCAACTGTCTATGCGTATAGGAATACAATAATATAGGTACTAAGATGTACACTCATTTTTGTCAGACGATGACATAGGAGAATTTAATCTAGATGCTATTTTTGCGGTTGGCAAAGTGAGATAAAAATTAAGAAACTTCATTCTGTCCATGAACATAAGCTTCGGCATCCGAAAACTAACTCAGTTGCACGCAAATCATTTTTTAACTTACCTAACTAAGGAAAAGGCCTGCATCATATAGAATGTTATTTACACAAATAAAAAATGAAAATCCACTCTTCGGTGACCGAGTGCGATGAACTTCTCGTTCGATTGCCGAAACTTGGATCGTGACTCGGCATTTCTTGTTAATTGCCAGTCTGCGGTGACATGGCCGGAGGATCATGGATTACTCAGGTTTGAAACAAAATAGCTTCGAACGAGGGAAAGAGAACCGGAATACACACTAAGATATCGAAACTAAAAGACGGGGAATTGAAATCGACTTTATGGTCTAGATGCTGCAATTTGCTGATAAATACAAAATGCCTTTCGATTTATTTATTGTCCTTATTATCTTCAAACTCTTTCGTATATTGTTCTATTAAGCACGCAATTTGAACGAACACACAATTTAAAGCGGAAACCCAATTGTCAAATTTCGAACACAATTCTAATACTAATCGACATGAATTAAACATTTCAAACCAAATGAAATCTGTAAATCATAACGGACCATACGAGTTTGCAAGCAGAGAAAATGAGCGTTAAATTAATTACATTGAATATATTCCCGTAAGAAATACAATTTTCTCCACGAATAAATTAAAAATTTCGCGAAACTGCGCTGGAAAATCTCACCGAGCTCGTCAGGGGCGACGTATTTGGAGAGGAGGGCTCGTATGGCTATGGCCCCGGAGTTGACCAGCATCGCCGAGATGGGCGCTGTAAAAGTTGATTGGTTTTCATCAATATATTTATTAAACAGTTTAAATTTATCCTCTAGGAAGCCATTGATCAAAATGAACTAGGATTTTTATAATGGTTTTATCATTTGAGCTCTTAATTTGCAAAATATTCTCAAATTTAAAAGAACCTCAAGAGATCCACAGTACTGTCATTGAAAACGTATTGAAAATGTATTGAAATTGAACTTTGTGTGCTTTCTTTGCTCTAAAATTACTAGAATCGAATTTAAGTTGTGTTTTGCGTGTATACTCACCAAGCCAGATGAGGAACTGCGCACTAGGCGACACGAGGCCGTAGAGGACGTAGTCGAGGACGGACGACAGCGCCCCCACCATCGCCAGGACGCTGTCCGACACCTGCAGCCCGGCACTCAGCACGGGCACCGCCACCAGCGAGCCTGGGTTGTGATAATAAGCTTGTTTAAGGGAAATTTGTGCTGTTTTCACTGCTGTCACAATGACAAAAATGCTTATTTGAACATTAACTAGAGCTATGTTTTCGATCCCACCATATCAGTAGTAAATTGATCTAATAGTTCTCTCTTCTTTCGGATAGGGTCGATGCTATAACGTAACTCACTCAACAATATTTTCTGGCCGAGCTTGAGGAATCTTGCCATCTCGGCAGAGACCGGGAGCATACCACACATTGAGCACCGACCTCAGCTGGCCTGAGGTCGGTACTCAGAAGTTATGTCGCAAATAGTACAGCAACATGTGTACAGTACATAAAATGATAATTTATACCATGCATCTATTAGAGCATTTTACCCATCATAATTGTTTACCTACAAGTGGTTTATCATTGAGGTAAATGATTGATCGCTATGAAAGCTAATGTTGAGCGACCACTTCATGATTTTATATTATAATTGCGATTCCTTCCACATTATATTCTAAAAATTATATGCTGGTTTTTACGACTGGGAATCTTTGTTTAGGTATGTTATTTTGCATTAACCATAATTGTCAATTTCGCTTGGTTGTTATAAGGGAGCATTTTATGCTAACTTTATTATATTTCTGCCCAAGGCTGGCAATCGACAACAAACAAAAAAAGACGGCGATCTTTTAGAGAATGCAAACGAAGTCGGCTAGTCTTTTTGCTTTTTGTTCATTAAAAGGGCATAGATAGAATAATTTACTTGAGCTCATTTATAGATGCCGACAAGGTTGCATTTGCCAGAATTAGCACAGAATTCCGGTATAGTTTTTATTATTATTCAGTGAACAGACGTTCGCGTTTTATCTGATCGCGTTTTTATCTGAATGTTACTTGATCCATAAGCCCATGCACCGCGGACCGTTCAGCACGTGAAGCCCACATGACAAATGTTCTGATAATCGAACACGCCAAAAATGGCTTGGTATGAGAAGTGTGCCTCTTGGCGACAATCAAAATATCTGTGCATTGTATTGTTAATTATATTATTTGTTTCACGATATGCAAGCCGATAAAGTTTAGTTTCTCTTTGCGTCTCGTTATTGTTTGAGATGTCAAGTCCAACTCCATTAAACTAAGCCCTACCCGAGCATTCATTCCGTGATTAATTATTCCTCAAATTGGTCCAAGCTAAAGTTTTGCTCTATAAGTATATAGCCCGACATGCCTTCAAAACTATTTGCGCACTAAGCGTGTTCAACAATACAAAAAACAGTGAAGCAGGTAGTCTGACTGCGCAGCACCCCTCAAAAGGTTAACATTATGAAGGCGATCCTAGCGAGGCGAGTAGACCGCATCTATGGTTGAACTAGTATAATGGACCGCATCAATGCTGCGTACTTATTACGATTAGAGTCTATCAAATATTTCACGCGTTCTAACCTTGCAAAGCACTTGCTACTACAACATGTAAAATGAAGCAGACCTCGAAAGAAATGTAATGTTTTTAAATAGCGTGAATTAGTGTTATTTTATCGACTTAGCAATAGAATATAAACGTGGTGTTGCGATGATCGCTTCAAGTGCAGCAGGTCCCCGCCCACATCGTCCAATAGCGGGAGATAATTTGTTGCCTACCCCAGCGTCTACATGTTCGTCGGGCAACCTAGACTACCTTCGAAATCAGAGCCCATTGTTAAGTTAAATTAAGTTGAGTTCTTTTCATGTATTTACAGCTGCACTCCCATGAAATTACCTTGGGAGGACCTTGGACCGACAACAGTGACATATTGGATTCAACCTCTAGCAGTCAGGCTCTGTCTGAAGACTGTAGACTGTCGGTTTAAGTTTTCTGAGACAATTTTTTTCTGGCATGGCACGCAAAAGATCAAACCCTTTAACATTGCCCTGGAAACTATTAAGGGTAATATGATAAATCAAGCTATTCTTAATTCACTGCAAAATTATTGCGTTTAATCTAATGTGGATAGAGTGAAATAAAATGATATAAAATAATTTTACAGATACGTAAAAGAAATACGTTAACGTACGCTTTAAAGGTTTGTTAAATTTAGTGTTTGACACGATGAAACCCTCATATTAAAATTCAGTTAAAAAACACATCGCCATAATAAATGAAAATCTATGCCTCGTTTATTGAAGTCTTAGATGCTCTTTTAAGGAACGTATCAGTTTAGAGCCTGCCAGCTCTAATTGCAATTCTTCGCAATCGGCGTGTACCAACCCAATATTTATTTGATATTGTAGAAGAAGGCGATCGAGTTATACTCCAATGCAAGGCTGCAGTCCAATTTAAGAGAACTGTTGAGTTCTCGACGAAGGCGGATGAGACCATTAAAAACAACTATGTGAATTATATATTGACTCATCTGTCGCTGAGCAAGATCCGAACAAATTAATCTTCTTACTAAACAAAAAACAAAACGTTAAACACCAAATTACATTTTCGTTTCCCCAGGTGTACGATCAGATGGCTATTCGGATGTTTACCGACCACTTCTGAGACTGGCAAAACCAAATATCCGAAGAAACAGAACGTACAATATCTAATTCATAAAATTAAAAACGTCCCTCAATTAGTTATGGCAATATAGGTCATGTTGCTGAAAGTGTTTGCCCTTATATAGATGGAACAAAAAACATGCATATAATTCATTTATATGACCAGCTTCCTCCCACGCTACGCTCTCCGCTTCATTGTTATGAAGCAGCGTGGGATGTTTCATATCATAAACGATCTCCAGATTACCTTATACGCATCGTTGGCCTGCTTGTACAACGTTACGTTCTAAAATGATTCATAATCTCTAACGGGTGAACTTAGTGTGGTAAGTAAAAGTGCAGTGCAGTTCAGTCCAGTTAAATATGCAGATCAGTAAAATAAATGGAAGTGCTCAGCTGCTGGTTTCATTTCCTGGAAGAATTTCCCACGTTGTTATGCATGAATTTCAACGAAGATTGAGAATACCGTCAAAACCACATAAAAATCATGGCTGACATCCAACTATGAGGCTTATTTAAGTAACATCGGTTTGGTAAGGCGGCATAGAATTGTTCTGTTTGCCTTCTATTGCATAACTTTATGCCCCACTTACGGGTATCACAGACTACAATGCAGAAACTCAAATATAAGCTACGATTACTTCCCAAAGGCACTGTTCGTATATAAGGAGAGAAGAATTTCCTTTGTAATCAACATTTTTTTCTGAACATTAGAGTATACAATTTTTAATAAGATTGGTTTTCGCACGTTCTTAGTAAATATCCTTTCCGAAATAGTTGACTACGTCAATTCGCCCGAGCGATCCGCATGCAAAGTGCAGATGGTAAATCCGTGCGGCGTGGCATTGTGCGGACAACGAGGGTGGCCTCTCGGCCTTGGGAGAACCTCGCTGCGGCGCTGGAGGAGAGCGAAGCGAGCGATCAACTCGCAGCGCGTCTGGAGAATCCGCGCCATGCGCTCGTTGAATGCTTGACATCAGCGCGCTCTAGTGTTGCAATTCTAACTTGTGGTTTTTAACAGTTTTATATCATTAAGATGAAGAGGAGTTTTCTACAAACAACAATCATATCATTGTTTTCAATTCCTTTCCTATCGTAAGGACCATGCAAAAAATTCGATTACAAGTGGCAACGCGGTTTATATAAACAAATGTAATTTTTAAGAAAAATGTTCAAAAACTAATTTTTACCACAATCGAAGCTCATTAAGCAAAAAGCCCGTGACGGTTAGTTGAGCTGCTGGAGTCTAGCCAGGTTGTTAGATCCAACTTTCAAGGTCCAGCATTAGAAGGATTGGCAAAGCCACCTACCTTGTGTTGCTCACATTTATTTGCACGCATAAAATGTAAGTTAAAATAGTTAATTGGCATTTGTTCGCTACTTCTAGTTGTTGTTGTTCGCTACTTCTATCATAGGAAACTTTGTTTTTAACAGCTAGCTTGTGATATTGCGAAAAGGATCTTCTGGGTCTCCATTAAAGATCATCGAAAATCATCACAGGAGACAGCAGAGCAGCGTTTTATCTTCAATCATTGCTTGAGAATAAATATAACCCCCATATGGTCTAAAGACTGCGCCTTTTTAACCAGCAAGTTTGCCTGAGTCTTGGGCATACGGTTAATGCAGACTGAAGCGTCGTTCCGCAAGCAAACTACTTAGCGAGCACGTCGCCTGGAGGTGTCTGCAGACTCGTGTGATCAGCCGCCATTCAAATTATAAGTTCGCTACTCTAATCCAGCCATAGTACTTAGAGGTCATCACGAAAGTCCCTTGGGAGATTTAAAACGTTCTATTTGGTCATAAACTGATGATGATGATGAGAACTAATATTTTGCACCAAATAATTATTCTATTGACCGCGAGAAAAGAGTATTGGTAGAAAAAAATTTTTTAGAATTTCAATAGTTCTTCACCCATGTTTTTTTTCCACTCGATCGTTTCCATGCATTAGTGAAGTGAATTAAGGCATCATTTGCTATCACAAGCATCATGCTACCATATATTTGACTTAGATACTAAGTATATATTATTGCAGCGTCCTGCAAATCGGAACGTACAAATAGAATCGCTCAGCTAACCAAATCAACACGGCAAATTATATTAGTTAATCCAAACATCTTTTGGTTTTTATCCATGCTTTTCACGAACTAGTGAGAGAGATTACTGCAATATTTCTCCGAATTGATGGCTTGTGATCAGCAACGAGCAGACGACGCCCAGGAGCTGTAAACAATGCTCGTGTCGTGCTTGCATCATGTCGTGTCGGATCGAGTCCGACGAAATAGAAAGATCTTCACTGAGCTTACCGTGAAGCCGCGGCGGATGAATCGAGACGCAGAACTCGAAGACATTGTCACGAAGCGATAAATTCGCAATTTGAATTTGGCATAATCAATCTTTCCACGCTTGAAAAAGTGTACTCTGTTTGAAATCAAAAAGCTATCGACGATATCGATTCCGCATAAAATAGCATATATTGAATACAAAGTTTTCAGTAGTCTTAAAATGAATGCACGTTTTTACTGGAAGCAATAAGCGTGTGAAGCCCGTCTGAAGGCTCACTATGATTGCTTTACCGCATCCGTCCGTGCGCATCCCCAAAAGAAGCAGTCAAAAGACCTACGTCAGCACAGGGGAATTGCCGGCAAAGAGGATCCGCTTCACGTATAGAAGCGACGAACTTCCATGCATGGAGCGTGCATGGAGCAGACGGGGAATTCTCCCTGACTAAAAACATTGATATGATTGAGATTTAGGGTAATTTTCCAGACAATTGTAGCCTAATCAAGTATATCAGTCGATTGGTGAAATCTAACGAAATAAAAATACATTCATCGTGTTGCTTTTCTCAGGATTTCAATGAATAAACTGCCGAAAATTGCAAATAAATTATTTTAATAATTTTTTACTCGAAAACATTCACTTATACAAATGGAATTTAATTAACCACCGGCGATTTATGTTCGAAGTTACCCTATCATTAGACGTGAATATCAGACCTTTTATATTCGAAGGTGCGCTCTATCACTAGAGTTTGGAAACGTTGTGTGGTCACCGAGAATTGAAAAGGACAGAAATTTAATAGAGAATGTTCAAAGACGTGCAACAAGGATAATTTATCAGATCTTTCATGTTCAAAGATGCCTTTCATAAGATATGAATATCAGGCCTTTTATATTCGAAAATGCTCTATCATTAGACGTGAATTTTATGTTCGAAGGTGCCCTTTCATAAGATGTGAATATCACACTATTATGTTCGGAGGTGCCCTATCCATAGACGTGAATATCAGACCTTTCATGTTAGAAGGTGCTTTTCCGTAAGATGTGAATATCAAACCTTTTATATTCGAAGGTGCCTTTCATTAGGCGTGAATATCAGACCTTTTTTGCGTCTAGCCATTTATGGCCTCTCAAAGCCTTCTGCAGGGCAAGGAACTACACGGGAAGCGCCTCGTGACCCGATGCTGCTAAACTTCCTTGTCACAGCGAGCATTTGTTCGTGAGCGCAAAGGTCTCCTATATTTTCGCGCCAAACTTCAGGCTTCCCAAGGCTGTTAAAATGCAGTGAGCAAGCAGACATTTACGAATTTTTGGCATACCGTGTTGGCTGAAAACGATTGCTAAACCCTGTAAGGAAAAATATATTCTAAAATATAAACGAATTCTTTAATTAACATCGAGCACTCAAGTTCAATGAAACGAAATCGTAAATTATCTGAATTGATCAGCAATCTAGAAGAAATTGTGACGACGATGTTCTTGTACGTCACCCACACGTCGCAGTCATCACTCACCGACCGTGGCGACGATGTTCTTGTACGTCACCCACACGCCGTAGTCAGCAGGCCCCCAGTCCAGCACCGTGCGGGTGAAGAGGTACATGTAGGCGCCTGCAATAGAATTCGACATCTTAAATTTCATGCACATTGCAATACAATGCAAATATAGAGATTCAACTCTCCTTCTAATACCCAAAGTCTTTTTTCAATTTGTCCTCAGTTCACAATTTCCGTGCACATTGGAAATAATTCGGTTTTAAATAACCGCTGGCAATAGCCCATATAATATTATTTTGTTTTTTTCATTGGTCTTCCATTACTTGGAAAGAATACTAACCAGTTTTATATCGTCAGTGAGGTTCGTATAGGCTTGAGATATCAGCTTAGGATAAAAAAAAACATTTCGAGTATCGTTGATTCCTGCATAAACTCTTTTTGAAATTTAAAAAATACTGTTGCTTTATTTTTCACCACCTGTTCCACATCATTAATAATTCATGTCTGCGGTGCCTTGCCACGCCTGTGTTTTAGTGAAGACTTTATTCACTTTCCCGTCTCGTGGCGAGTGGCAATGACTTTTTTCCTGACTTTGAGGTCTCATCTCATGAGGTCAATCATTGATATATCATTGCGAAGCTTTGATCTCATGAGGTCACTCACTCATTACGAAGCTCTGACCTCATGAGGTCACTCACTCATTACGAAGCTCTGACCTCATGAGGTCACTCACTCATTACGAAGCTCTGACCTCATGAGGTCACTCACTCATTACGAAGCTCTGACCTCATGAGGTCACTCACTCATTACGAAGCTCTGACCTCATGAGGTCACTCACTCATTACGAAGCTCTGACCTCATGAGGTCACTCACTCATTACGAAGCTCTGACCTCATGAGGTCACTCACTCATTACGAAGCTCTGACCTCATGAGGTCACTCACTCATTACGAAGCTCTGACCTCATGAGGTCACTCACTCATTAAGGAGCTCTGACCTCATGAGGTCACTCACTCATTACGAAGCTCTGACCTCATGAGGTCACACACTCATTACGAAGCTCTGACCTCATGAGGTCACTCACTCATTACGAAGCTCTGACCTCATGAGGTCACACACTCATTAAGGAGCTCTGACCTCATGAGGTCACTCACTCATTACGAAGCTCTGACCTCATGAGATCAGTTATTACGAATATCACTGCAAAGTCACCGCTAATATTACGGAATATCACAAATCACGTAATCATTCGGCGTAATTAAGTTAATATGAAATATAATTCAATAATTTTGATTCGGCTGAAGTCGGTCAATCCCACAAACTCACTTTGCACCAAAACAAAACCACTCTATTGTTCAACATGCGAAGCAGACTTTAGAAAATAAAAAATAAGGCATTGAAGCGCACTAAAAAAATATTCAAAAAATCAACACTTACTTCCTATTTGTCATTGTAATTATGAGACGTACAAAAAAACTTTTCCATATCATCGAGCAGTATCAAATGAATCAAGGAGCTCATCAACAACCTTTATTAAAAATATTTAATATACAAAATAATCAATGGCCGTGATCAATCTAACAACCAAAACAAAAAGTTTGAATATCTACGTTTTTGTCTCGCGAAAAACGCTTTTAGAACAAAAACACAGAAATCACTGAGCTTCTTTTGCGCAAAAATTTTCTTGTTGAACAAATTCAGCTCTCAAACGCCACCAAATCTTATTGTTTTACGAACAACTTTGCCGCGTTTGTGAGCTTGTGAGCCAGATTGTGGTACGACCTCGTTTGTGCAACACTCGGAAGCGCAGTGACTCTTCTCAAACGCGATGATAGCAGCGAGATGCTGGAATAAATTTCGTCCAGGAAATGCGTCAGTTTCACCTCTGGACCCAGGGAATCTCCCCAAATCCAAAACTCAAGTTGTGGTAATAGTCTTGCGCTGCAAGCCCGCCTCAATAATTGTCTCTCCAAAAGGGTCGGCGGCCGATATAGACGGCTGATGATCAAGCGCCGATAATAAAGTTTAAATTTTTCAATGGCAATTACTTGACTTCCAATCTATCAGTAAAAGTCAACGCAGTAATTTGAATTCAGCCTCGCTAATTGAAACATTGTTGAATTGCAATGTTTCATAGGAACTCCGACCCAATTACTATGGACGAAAAACTGGAATTGTAAGAGATCGATAAATTGCAAGTATATCGCGTGTCATTGAGTAATGTATTAATTAATAATCCTTATGAAAGGAGCATCATGACTCCATTAATCAGGGCGCGTCAAGTCGAAAAATGCGGCAAAATGATTTGAGATCAGCTTAGCTGTTTATGGGGAAACGAGCTATAATATAGACCGATTTTTTATTTTACTATGAAACTTCATTTTCTAAGATGGCAAGGAACATCGCTAGTATAGAATGTGAATGAAAAAATGTATTCGGGCACTCGTCAATAACGTTTAATAGTCACTACCCAGCTCATATAGACCTAATCAACATTGTCAATTTATACTAGATTTGTTGATATATCAAGACAACATCTTTTTTGGTGTCTTTTCTTCTAAACTTGCCGACCGATGAACACCATTTGTCGAGAAATCAACGATATTGGGAGAGAGAATTAAACTCATGCTGAATTATCCATTCTGGTGTGCATAATGAAGAGTCGTTCTCGATGAAGGGTTCATTTCGCCGTTGAAGCTTTTGAAGTTCGAGCAAAGCATGGGAAATAAATGTACTTATGGCAGTGGTGATGAAATAGCTGTGGTCCACGAAAATTTGCTCGTAAGGTCAAGTTCATGCTCAGTGACCTCGTTTCGAAATAAGCTTCCTTGGGTATGCAAAGATCGGTCCTATAGATCGCAAGATCGATATCTTTTCTGTATTAACTAATTATCACTTATTAAGGTTCTATTTACTTAGATGATATGCAAGCCAACTTATTTGTGAAACTGTTGAGTCTATTGTTGCAACACGGATCGCATAGCTAATGTTTTTGGTGTGAATATAAGAGTTAATAATTAAAAATGCCGAAGGTTGCTTTTTGACTCCAGTCGTAGATCCATGGATGGCGTAATTATATGAAATTTAAATTAAATATACAATGATATGATTGTTTTAAAAACGATTAAACGTGTTCTTTTTAGCAGTACCACTGCGAAAATTGAATGAAGGCTACTGGATAATGAACGGAGCGAAGTCAACGACGTCTTGGAAATATGAGCCTAGGAAGGCAGAAGTCATACGTGGAGAGGAGAAACGCTGCGTGCGTCGTGCAGCAGCCCGTTGCGTATAGGATAATTTGTTGGCCATTTTAGCAGCTCTGGCATCGGTACGCTCTGTGACCTTCGAGCTCATTCTGCTGATGCGTCGGGGACGAGGAACGGTAAAGTGAAGGACTTATCAACCCTGTGTCCCCTATAACTGATCATATTGTTTCCTGTGATGGAACTGGAATGAAGAGCAGCTTCTAGGTGTTCAGTGCTCGAGTACAAATAATAGAAAGAAAATCTTCTATGAATAACAACGGTCATGGGCTTTCAAATTGTTCTCTATGTGAGCACAAATTTTAAGTGAAAATTCAAAAATATATTTTCCTCCTTTAGGCCATAACATGCCAATGCAGGTCTCGTTTTCACTTCAGAGAAACAGATTTGATGGACATGCACCAACTGCAACAGCCTTTTTAGCGCATTTACTCACTTATGAAAAAATGCACTATTGTGCTCGCCATGCCCGTCCGTCTGTCTGTCTGTCCGTCCGTTTGTCTGTCCGTCCGTGACTTGACTGACTTCACGTTTTCGTCGACGAGAAAATGCGCCCTCTGTCACTCACTGCAGTGAGTACTGAGTTATATTTTTTTTATTCTTTATGCATTTGTCAATTGTTAACCTAAGTTAGAGAATGCATAATTAATTTTAAAGGCATCATTTACAGAACTTTTAAGTAATCAATAAAAGGCTTGTGGTACTGGAGAGAACCCTCTTTGTGAGGTAAGATTTATCAATTGAAGGCTATGTTGTATTATTTTTTGCAAGTCTTAAACTGTAATTAACTTTACCTCGTCGACTTACGGTCACGCTTGTTGAATAAGCGGTTTACATAGACACTATATCTGTCGCCATAAAAAATCTATTAAGATTATTTACGTTGTTTTCAATATTGTTAACGTTTTATGTTTAAACGGATAATATAATGTGTTTGATTAACCATCGTTAGCATTTATCACTCAAATGTAGTTTAATTATGAGCGAAAACCCAGTATAAGTAATGAACCGCACATGACACTAGACGAAACAAAAATACAAAGGGGTCCTCTCATCCCCCAGCAGACATCTCATTGGAATACATCGTTGAAACTATGACCTTGAAACGTTTAGAGTTTATAAGAAGATAAATAATATATCGAACAAACATACGTCTCCAGCATTTCGTTTATAGCCGATAATGGTTACTAACACAATATTGATACTGCACAACTAACAAAATAATGCAAAGAGCCTCAAATAACTTTCAATTTTTCCTTTGTTTGGTGTAGAAAAAAATATGAATAAGAAGCTGCTCGCCTTGTTAGGCGACCGTTAAATGTTCAGTTGCAGCTATAGGACTGCCGCGTTTGTCGCTGGAGCGTCGCGAGATGCCAAGGGTAGCAAGCTTGCTTGCCTTGCTCTACACCGTCAGGTTTCGATCCATGAGAGTTCCAAACGCATGCGGCTAAGCATCGTAGCATTTCAGATTCGACGTGTCATTCGATATAACGTGTACTCGAACGAACACTAATTGAAGATTACAAAGCCGTTGAAGGAAAATAAATATATTTGTTTCAACTGCGTCAAATTGTTGATTTTGTTGTGCGAATTGTTGTTCAACTGTTTTTCAACTGCGAAATTGTTGATTTTGCTGTGGTTCTATAATCTAAATTTAACTACACACAGATTAATTGGTCATTGACATGAAAACAAAATTGTGGGCGCGGCTCAATCCAAGTCTGTAAAAAAAATTCGTCCGTTGTATGGAGGATGCATTAAAAATACACGTTGTGAATTCGATGCGAGTCTCGTATAACGCGATTTTGGCTTAAAACGAATAATTCGTTGACTGAATTTGTTTGTTCTTACCTCGCCCAATCTTCCTGAGGAGGTTTGCAGCGATCAGCAAGAGGATGTAGATCCTGACGTTTCCTTCTCTCTTGCGGAGAGTTGATCGGAAGCTGTCGATAAAACGTTGGGGATTGAAGAAGTCAAGAATCATCTTCTTTACAGTGATCTCATCGAGCGCTCGTTGCACTTCACTCTCAGTATTTTTTTTCCTTCTGCTTAGCCCATAAACTTGAATGATGCTGTGCCTTAGTTTATAAGTTGGTTTAGGAGCAAGGACTTTACTAAGACGTTTCTTGTCCGCGAATGGACCGTGGCTTTCCGGCAACAAGAAGATAATATAGAGGGTGGCAATGATGTGCATAAGGAGAGAAGTCCCGAAAAGGACTTGGTATCCAGCAGCGCGGTAGATGTACGTACCCATCAGCGTGCCGATGGGTCCGCCTAGGAACCAAATGCTGTTGGCGAGCCCCACTCGTGATGTTCTCGATTCTTCCGTCGTAACGTCACTGATGTACGAGTTTGCAGCTGTCAGGAAGGACACGGCACCTCCACCTAACGATTCTAAAAGCCCAACCACCAGTAAATATTCCACCGGCCAATGCCATACCCAAGAATTTAGAAGGTACCCAGCGGAGTACATAGTGTGGCCTAACATTGCTGCGCAGAGAGGAACTTTTCGTCCGTATTTGTCACTCCATGCACCCATGAATAGAATAAAGAATAAAGGAATAACGGACATGATAATTGCATTATACATGCTGAATATGCTCACTTCTTGCTGCTGGGCTTTTCGCACATCGGGATACTGAGAGATATTGGCACATACTTCTGCAGTGTGGTTTAGCGTGATATGACAAATTTTATCCATTTGCAGATTTTCAACTAAAACTACCATGTTTGAAAATGCTAAGCCATCTAACAACATTACTGGCTCCACTGATGTGCTGGCAATCACGTGGATGACACGTTCCTTCCACGTGGGCTTCCTCTCCTCCTCTTCGCTTCTAGTAGACATCGCGAAAAACGTAGGTCGAAATTTGCTAAAAAACGAAATTTTATCCAATTTATCTTAGCTCAATATTACGCAAGCCTTTTTTAAATAATGAATTCTCTTGCTTGATTCTTAGGAGAAGGCTGACTTTTCAATGTAATACACATATCATGTCATTTTCCAATGGATGCAAACGAGAACTCTAGGACGCATCGGTAAGCGGAGCGGCACGCGCTATCTCAACGATATCGCGTGAAGGACTGTGGCCTCCTGGACGTCGTCTAGCAGCCAACCCTCAGAACAGGTCCTCAATTACCTGCGTACCTAGCATCGTTTTCCGCCACATTCCTTGCGAGTGACAAACAGCATCTTAATTCAACGTTATCTTGTCGGTGACTTCTCTAGTCTTACGAAACAGCTGTCAGGAAGTGACATGCAATAGCACTGCCATACTAATTAAAGCAGTTAAGTAACCAAGGGAAAATATCAACACAATGTGCCTAAAAATTACAAATAAATGTTTATTTTGCTTCATTAAAGCAGCATATATACGTATTGAAAACCTCTATGAATTCTTCTCCCATGTCTTCATGGTCAGTGAATGCGAAATTTAATTTAGGTTAGAAATTGTCGAAATATGGTACTATAGTCATCTCGACAGGATTTAAGATTTCGATAGGAAAAGTAAGCATGCCAAACATAGTTCACTTCTTCATATTATATTTGTGTGAGTCTCATGCAATCTTCCTCGTTTACAAAGCGTAGTGACGGTAGTGTGTCCAGCCGTCACATCTGCATGCCCTTAACCTTGATCTTCACTACTGCACGTGGATACTTCCAATCTTAGCATGGGAAATAATGACGGCAAGAAATATCTTTTCATTCAAAATCGTTAACCTTTTCATTAACTGCTCACGAGTTTGCAAGTCAACGGAGCAAACTTTCGCATAGCGTGATAAACGTGATAAATAAATGAGATGTCATACTTGTGAGATTTGACAATACAACGTTTTTTTTTTTTTTTTAGGATAAAGTGAATGATGATGTAAGGAATCTCGAAGCATGAAAAATTCAAAAGGAAGTTAAAACTGCACAGATATCCGTCCATGGTTGAACTAGTATATAGTTCAACCATGCATCCGTCAATATCGGTAGCAACATTGGTCATGCAAACATTTTAAATTGCGAGAGGAATTTTACCGGAGTTGAACGCCTTCTATGTTGAATTTAAGAACTTACATGATTCGGTGCGTGCAAGTTTGCTGGTATAGTTAGATTTGGAAAATTCAATTTATAACTTGACAATTGGTTCAAAAAAGAGTTGCGACGCTCAAGGTGCGTCCATGTAGCTCAAAGTCAATTCAATTTCATGGAGTAGCACCCGCAGACATACCTGATCAATGCTTAATGCGCATCACTTGAGCTCACCACTCCACAGTGATAGTTTCCATGACAATCAAAAAGCTGAAAGGTATCTCCTGTTTGGATAATTCAGCCATCGTGTTTCTGCATTAGTTACGAATGACTGGAGAGAGCGTGCTTGACATCCCGCATCCGCTCCAACACAGGGGAACTGACCTCTCCGCCTACAGGGCCTCGCACCAACGCAGGCTCGCTATGCACTCCCATATAAGGTATTGAGAGTGCGACTGCGTTTATGACTTGGCTTAGTGTTAATAAATATCATGACTAGATATTTTAGTGAGGTTCTTTAATTACCACATCATACATGCCATTGTAGTGAGGCCTCTAAATTCCGTGTTGAATTAGTTCGCTAAAACGTAAGTAATGTAACCCTCAAAATCATAAAATGTATCGTATAATTATGAGTCGAAAGCGTAAATTTCGAATGGTTTTCTCTCATTGTGCTGATTTAGCTGGAGTATGAAGCAAGTTTAACTGGAGTATCAAATTCACCGGTTTTAACGCTTGAAGTGTTATCTTGCCAGAAGTTTGTAAAGATACGAAGTTCATACTGAGCGTTCGAGCTTTCGCCTTCTGCCCAGAGAAAATGTCGCGACCTTTGCAAAGCGCTCGCTAGAAAGGCTGACCGAGCTCTTTCTCTCCCAGCGGCTAAATTATTTATTTTTACCAATACCGTCGCAGGCAACACGATGGATTATGCTATAAATTCGCTTCATTTTTTTTCGAAAAGCCAAGGGGCAAATAAATGCCAGCTTACAGAGAGCATTGATGCTAGACAAAATATCACTAGCGTGGTAAAATGACTTACCAAGGCACAAACTGTCAACACTTTTCATCGCAGGTCTCCGTAAATAAAGTCGTCAGCACCAGGCAATTGAAACAGAACAGGATATATAATAATGTGGGCGTAGGAAATAACTAACTACCGATAAACGATTATATGTTTGAACTATAATCGCCCAGGCGCTCCCACGACACAACTAACTTGGCAACTTTTTCAGTCACACACGCGCCGCGACCTGACGAGCACAGGGTGCGTCAGGAGCCGTGACGTCAGGCAGGGCGCTGCTCACTACTTCTCAGGACTTTTCCCTACGCGGCTGCTGGAGACCTAACCTAACCATTGCCACACCGCATCGTGTAACTCTCTCTAAACATTTTCCATAACTACGCACTCATATTTAAGATATGTTGCTGCACTTTATGTATATATCCAAGACAGCGTTCAAGATTATTAGTTCCAGGAAATAAAGTAGGTGATAGCAACAGACGAACTTGCTGGATTTATTTGCATTTAAAAGGCGCACAACCTTAATGTTATCACTGAAATTTCAAGTACTCGTGGAAGAATATTACAGTGAAGTAATATTGAAGATAGTCATGCTAGGTACACAAGGACGAAATCAACAGGTTGTATATATCAAGCAACCATTCATAGCTCGAAGAATGACACTGCAAAGACCAGCAATATTTCATGAGCAAGTTTCGCACGAATTTTTCATGTATTTGCTACACGTTGAAGGGTAGGAAGAGAGCGGGGAATTGTCAGTCGTTTATACCTCACACCTCCGTACAAAAACCAGACATCAAATAGTATAACACATGGAAGGAAAAATCCCGAAAAACGCGCGTTGGAGCACTGGGCAGAAAACTCTTGCCTATGATAATATTCTTAGGAAACTGAAAATAGAACGAGAAACTGGCAAAAAAACACACAAACAAAATGAATCATAACAAAATAATTTAAATTAATAAAAAGAGAATTTCGTTATTCAAATTGCAGAATGTAATGATGTGAAGCCTTTATATATATTTAGTCTCCATGAAGTGGATAAATTGAACAAACAAAAAGATGGGTTAACATTGACGAACTCCATCAGCATATAGTAGCTGATGTGTGGCCACGATGCAGTTAGTTTATGATATTAACCGATGTCGCAGAACACAAATTTTCACTTGTGTTAGAAATTGTCGTCTGATTATTTTGAAGAAGTGGGCGCCAGGATTTTGGGCAAGAAGCTACTTTTCGTTTTGCGTGTCTCCGTTCTTGCCATCCTCGGTGTTGTCTTCCTCCTCAGACTCGAACGTGGTGTCAGGTATATCATACAAGTCAATTACTTGCTGCAAAGGGAACAAATAGAGAAATATTTAATGTACGAAATTGGAGCGCACAATGCCTTCATCATCTGATCTACCTGTTAGTCCTCGATTATGTAGTGGTCACTGTTATATCGTTTAAAAGGTACAAACATGTACCAGGTTAAAACTTAAAATCTGTCGGCCCACATACGACACGAATTGCTGAAAGAAATTTTGAAATGAGTTTCTGAGCAGAAATGTTTTCACATTTGAATTCCACAATAAGTAATCAAGCATCTAAATGATTTGATGTGTATATTGACAACATAAAAACAAATGTTTGAGATGGGTTTTTATAAAAAAAATATATTCACATCAGAAGCCAACAATAAAGTTATTAAGCATTGAGTTGACCAGGCACAGAAAAATGATAGTAACTGATTGGGCACCTTGTTGGGGTTCTTCATGATGAGATATTTGCCGTCCTTAAGATTCATGCAGATGTCGATGATGCACCGCAAGATGCCCCAGGCGTTATCCATGCTCAGGTTGATTTGGTTGGCGAACTCGTGAGGCTTGAACTGCTCCGTGCCCAAAATCACGTGCTTTGAGGAGTCTCGCACGTTCACACGAGACACATATCTGTGGTGGTACATAGAAAACTTGTTATGAAAAGTTCATGTCATAACAAATCTCAAGTTCAACAAGAATTCAAGGTTAAACAGATGCCAAGGATATTCACCACTTCTTTATTGAAAGCGTTTCACAGACTATTGACTGTACTTATTTTCTCTGTATTTTTAAACTTATGATGCAGCTGGTCTCCAGCCGTAACATCCATTTATTAATATTAAATACATACCTTTTATGATACATCAAAAAAACATAGTAGATATTGGTTCACACATGCCCCATTACATTTATACAGTATGTTATCACAAAATACGACGAATGATTACATTCCCGACGATTCTCGTCACTAATATTGAATTTACGAAGGCTCACTAAGATTTTTCCAGAGATTAGTGAAGTTCCTCACCCGAATTTGATCTGGTCGGAGCCAGCAAGCAGGGCTTGGCAGGTCCACTTGGCGAGCTTGAAGGCGTTGCAGCGCAGCTCGTTGGCCAACACAGCACCGCGCTGGCTGTCCAGCTTCTGACGCCAATCAACGCCGTTGCTTATCCTGCTGTCCCACTCGTTCAGGGTCTACAACGTAATGGGATTTAATTCACTGCACACATTTACAAAGCTCAGTAACTTTGAAGAATTCGATAAAACATTCATCAGCAAAGACAAATTTTGAAAGAGACCCCTAAAAGAGAATCACAAGAAGAATGACTCGTTTTCAGAATTATCGTGTGTAAACAAGCCTCCCAACCACACTTCGTATCACACAAATGATGACATGAGCCAAATGATGGCATTCAAATATCTCTACACGCGCAATAACCAAATTGCAAAAACGTCATTATTATCAGGTAAACAATGGTAAACTTGAGATAGAATTAATGCATTGCGAGTCCAGCAGACCTTGATGTTGATGAAGTTGACCTCGCCGGACTGCATCTGTAGCACGGCGTCATGCTCGGTCCTGGCCACAAGCTTGATGTTGTTGCCCAAGTCCCAGCAGCGGTAGCGGTAGCCCACGGGCGCCACTTCGTCCTCCTCGTCCTCGTCCAGGAACGGGCTCTCGTTGGGGAAAGTGTATCGCTTCTTCTTATCCTTGCGACACAAACAAAAGTGTATTTTTACTTATACATATCTGTTTTATCACCGATGTAATTAGTACTATATGATAAAAAATATCAATTTTCAGTTTTCAGCCTGATAGATAATAACTTTTTATCGAAAATGCCGAGTTGCCATTATGTAAGCACATTTAGCAGGAACATTTTTACTGTTTTACATTTTTATTATATTAGATTATCAAACAAACAACAATCGTGTTTCAAGGCGCGCCTATGCCCTTAACGTTCGAGCTGGCAATGTAAAAACTTGATAGGACTCAACCTCACCTAATCTCAAAATAAATATTACATTTCACGAACGAATTTATCTCAACTTGAAAAGTTTGAAAATTGCAGGAGATATGCAGTCCAAGTTATTCACACTTCACACATTCACACTTCAATCCAAGCCTTCACACTTCACACAACATATAAGTTAGGCCAATGAAATAACGATAACTGCACTGTAAGGCTATCTATAAACTATAAAGACAAGACAACTTGCTTACCGAGACCAGAACTTGCTGCGAAAAGTTGTGGTTGATGAAGGTCGCCTCCAGGGATAACAGGCGCGGTGAGTTCAGTGAATTGCCTTCGTCCTGAGGAGGCTCGATGGAAGTTTCACTAACCGTCAGCAAGTCTGTGAGTCAGGGAATACCAATGATCTTGAACAGGGCATTTACAATCATTGTTAAAACAGTTGGTTGTCAGAATATTAGCAATCAGAAACCAGAGTGACAATATCAAGGTGTCTACCCACCAAATTCCGAGTCATCGCGCTTGTCAAAGAAGAGCTTGTCGCCGATCTTCTGCACTACGATGTCCCAGGAGTAAACGGAGCGCGTGCAACACATCAGGGTCGCCAGAATGACGTCTGTGGCGAAGACGTTGCCTTCGCTCTTCGTCAGCTGCAAACACAAAAACAAAATTAAACACCGTGATTCAATTTACATTTTGAAATGATACCGAAATTTGAAATATTTTAATGCATGTTATTTTCTAGCAAAAAAAAGTTGTATTAGCAAATATAGCATCATACTACGTCCACATTATTGGTTGTGTTATCTAACTCTGAAAGTGTACTACCCGGAGACTTCTTGCAGAAATTTCACAATTTATTTTTACTTAAGAACTCTTTATCCGTGAAAGTTGAAGCAGAGCGCAGAAACGAACACCTACTTAATCACAACTAACTTAACTTAACCTCTTTAACTTCACTTCTTGTTTGTCTGTCTGCTACAAATCTTATAGGTAATCAAAATTTAACACACTTCTACTTATCCTATCGATCTGAAATTTTGCACACTTGCGTAAAGTTGGAGACAATGCATGAATCAAATGGCGAAATAAATTATTTTGAAAATAAAAAATAAAATTTTCAATATTAAAAAAATTGAAAAAAATAATTTTGTAAGCTACAAATCTTATAACTGATGTTTGACACACTTTTACCAGTCCAATTGATCTGAAATTTTGCACACTTGTGTGAAATAGGAGGCAATGCTTGAATCAATTGACAGAATAAATAATTAAAAAAAAAATTTGTATACATATATAAAAAATTGAAAAAGTTAATTTTTTTAATATTCGAAAATAAAATGAGAAATTCATTGTACATCTTTAACATTGGAGACACTGGATTCTTTATAAGTGTTGTCTTTAAAAAGTAATTTTTAAACGTATATTATTAATTAATAATTTCACCCTGATGCCTGACCTGTCTGATGATAGGGTCGTCGGTGGTGGTGACCTTGTGGAAGATGCGATCGACGCGCTCCAACTTCTTCTCGTTCTTGACTGTGACGCGATCGTAGGTCTTGTCGTAGTACTCCATAGCACCGCACAGCATCCTGGGGTCATTGATATCATACCATGGTCATTAAGGGGGGGCAAACTTCATAGCTGGCATCATTAAATGGTCATTAATTAATGTCACTACTAATTTATTGGTGCCATTTAATGATCATTAATTTAATGGCGCATTGGACGCGCCATTAAATGGCGCCGAACATGATAACTGATACAATTATATACATTATCATTTAAGGTGCTAAAACACGATAACTGTCACCATTACATGATCATTACAATAAAATATGGGCCAATTGAGAATGTGACGCAACTGGATTCCCAATCTAAAAACCAGCAAGGGCTGCAATGGTTAACAATTACAGAGGCATTAAATATTAAAGCACAAGATAATTGTTTTGTTAAGTTAATCATGTTTAGTGGAACACTTGATCTTCATGCAATATACAAATGACGAGCGGCAATACGTATAGGAATGACGAATGCAATACCTATACGAATGACGAACGGCAATATATCTTCATGCAATATACAAATGACGAATCCATTATCTCACAGGTCCTTGGGTTCAGCGACAGTTGGGAGCGAGAGCTCCTGCAGCCTAGGGAAGTCCATTTCCTCGACGATCTTCCAGTCTGGCCGCACGGTCACAGACGCGTCCCTGATCTTCTGTTGCTGCTGGTAGCGGGACGGCCAGCGCCGCTGCTGCTGGTTCTGTTTCTGCCACTTATTACTGAAACAAATGTATTCCCGTTAATGTGGTTGTTTGAATCAATAATTGCTTTGCACCAAATGTAATGAAGGTTGATTAGGTTTGTGAGTTTGCAATGATGATAAACCCAAAATTACATGGAAGCTTTTCAAACAGTTTCTCTTAGGACTTGAATCAGCTGGAATAGACGTACATATTTCCGCTGATCAAAACAACCTTTCAGTAGTTCCTCTCATTAATAATTTAATGCACAAACGATATCCATATGGACACAAAATTTAATTTTTTGAAAAACTTAAATAATTTTGAGAGATGCAAGAAAATATAATTGTCCATTGCGTGAAGGTTAACATACTCTCCTCTCTTGTTGCCTCGGCCCAGCACTTGCAGATGGCTGTCACCTCGCCCCGCCCCCATGCCACGCCCCCGCCCGCCGCGCATGCGCGCATTGCGCATGTAGCGACCACGCTGGTAGGGAGGCTTGGGCACGTTTGCCTTGAACACCTGCAAAAATTACATTGGGGTATGAATGGTTAATAGTGGACTTTGCTGATATTTTTTCCAATGGTTTTGACCTCCTATGCCAGAGACATATGATGAAGACAAATTACTTACCAGCCAGCAAATTACAAACAGGAGTTCATATCCCCCTTCTCTTTTTACAACACTTCTCTTTAACTTCACTTCTTGTTGTTTGTTTGCCACAAATCTTATAATTGATATTTAACACACTTCTACCCGTCAAATCGATCTGAAATTTTGCACACTTGCATAAAGTTGGAGACAATGCATGAATCAATTGACAGAATAAATAATTTGAAAATTAAAAAAAAAAATTTCAATATTAAAAAAAATGACAAAATAATTTTGACAGCTACAAATCTTATGAATGATATTTGATACACTTTCACCTGTCCAATTGAACTGAAATTTTGCATACTTGTGTGAAGTTGGAGGCAATGCATGAATCAATTGACAGAATAAATAATTTAGAAAAAAATTTTATATATTAAAAAATTTTGAAAAATTAATTTTTTTTTAATTTTCGAAAATAAAATGAGAAATCCATTGTACATCTTTAACATTGGAGACACTGGATTCTTTAGAAGTGTTGTCTTTAAAAAGTAATTAACACGTTTTTCTTAGCTTAGCTTCGCGTTTGTTTGTTTGTTGTTAACATTGACAACGAAAATTAGCCCACTTCTGATTGCTCTAGAGATCTGAAATTCGGCATGCAGGCTATTTTCGCCTAACAATTTCAGATACAATCATAAAAACTAGCAATTAGAGACTTAAATTAGCTTAATTGAGTAATGTATATATAAATAGTGTATATATAGTATGATGTGAGGTCGCTGACGTTATAGACGAGCAGGCGCTTACGCTGTGTTTCATCGATACGTACATCAAGTCAAGTAAATTGGCTCGCAACAACGTTTTTATATATTAAAAAAATTGAAAAATTAATTTTTTTAATATTTGAAAATTAAATGAGAAATTCATTGTACAATGTACATCTATAAGGTTGGATTACTTGGATACACTGGATTCTTTGGAAGTGTTGTCATTAAAAAATAATTTTTAAACGTATATTATTTTTCTCAAGTACACTCAAATAACAATGAGGATTATCAGACAATCTTCAACAAATGAAGTAATGAAGATTCGTACTGCATCCGTTAAAAATTATTAACAGATAATTTGTAATCAAAGTGAATACATATGATCAAATTTAACAGATAGAATTTTACAAAATATACAAGTAAAGTGACTTTACCTGCTTGAAGGTATTTTCATCATCTTCATGGTAGTAAGCATACTGCTGTTGGCTGCCAAATGTTGATGTATACTTGGCTGAAATTAAGAGACAATTTAAAAAAGCAGTTATTAATTTCATTGAGTAACAATTGGCTACACATAAACAAGTAGCAACTTTGGTCAATATGGAAAAATTCAACATCTCACAGATGTAAACAACTGGTAACATTTTCCAGTGAATATTTCCACAAAAAATTTCAATTAGCCTGGATAATTGAAATAAGTTAAATCCAAGGCTAAGTTCTGTTTGTTTTCAGTAAAATTATTTTGCTCACTGTCAACTCCCACTTTCTGCAATTTCAATTGAAAACTTACTAGCATAACGTCTGTCTTGGTAGGTAGCACCAGTCCAATCTGAGACCTGCACACAGATAAAAATATTTCAAAGGAATAAATGAGGTTGTGAGGAATTATGAACAAAAGTTATGGCCTGCAATCAGAGCAATGTTTGCCTTGTCCTGTATGTCGAAAACATGAGCAGGAATAAGCCAAATTATATCAGGTTACATATAGGTTATTAGGTTTTTAATATAAGTTATTGTTTTCAGTATTTTCTCAGCCATGAATTCCATTGCATGACAATCTTGCCTATCAAGTGTCAACATCATACAGTGGATTGTGCCATCATTGTGGACATACTGACATAGTGGCAAAGGAGAGTTTTTTAGACTCCCTCAAGTTAATTTTTGAGTCCTATAAGTAGACCAGTAAACTATTCTGGATACCAACATAGGCAACATTATCATACATAAGAAATTTGTTTAAATCTTGGTTAAATATGGAAATTAGAAATGAACTCATTCTATTCAATTCAATTGCTGATAATGCATCATTGGAATTTTAGACCATCACCCATGAGATTTCAAATGTGAAAATTTTTCACTTTGGAGCCACAAGCTTAGTAGTAAGTTAGAAAATTACGATACTATTCAATTTTTTCAGTTTGTTTTTGGCCTTCTGTCCAATTTTCCATGATGGACTGTTTGATAATGGATAATTCTCGAAACTCGCTTGTGGAACAATTGTTTTTACCAGCCTTTTTTTTTAAATTTGGTCCAATTTCCATTTTTCTCTCAGGACTTCTTCATTTGTTCCATGATTAACTGCTCTACCGTAAAATGGGGTTATTTTGACACCCAGGGTAACTTTGACCACTTTTCATTTTTTTGAACAAAAACCCCAAAAACTCAAAAACTATTTGACATAGAAAAATTTTGTCAATGGCCATTAGAGGCCTAATACTGATGCTACATAACACAATAAAAATATTTAAAAAGTTTGCATATATAATAGGTTAAAAAATTAAAAATGTGACCCACGAAAAAGAGCTTATTATTTAAAGCATGGCAAAGTACCCCCTCCAATTTTTTTATTTTTTGGTAAAATAACTCCAGGTTTTGATGCATTGTAGAAGAACTCTTCTACTTACATATGCAAATGAAAAATTTTAGGAAAGTGTCATAGTTTGCAAATGGGGGGCACCATCCCCCAATGGGGGAACTCTGACCACCTAATGGCAGCCCTGACGGGGTAACATTGACCGGCTTGGAAATTAAGTTAAAATTACCATAGGCACCTATATAACATATTTTATGTTTGATACAGGAGCACAGCCGTGCACCACCAGTTTTGTGCACCAATTAGCCCTGAATCAAACGCCTTGAATCTCTCCAAACCTACACCAATCAGCCGTGCACCACTCGGCTTTGTCCTCTTCCAGCCTTGACCACCACCTGCCGTGCACCACCACGGAGCGGATCGAATATGACTTCCAGACATCGTTAAATTACATAATTTTACGTTCACTGCATCTAAAGTTAGGTTTCAGATGGCATAGTTCTGTTCCAAATTTATCGTCCTTCAACAAGTGGCCGTTTGACCCACAACCTAGATACGGATGGCTTGAAGTTTTGAAAGCTACGTTCCGGAAGGCAGGAATCATGATGGTTCATTACATCCAGGGCAGTGGTGGTCTTTGGCAGCCGGCAGGTGACCCTTTGAAACACCTCTCAATGTTTTTTCTTTATGTTTCAGGCTCTACAGTCTTATATATGGTAATTTTAACTTAATTTCCAAGCCGGTCAATGTTACCCCATCTTGGCTGCCATTAGGTGGTCACATTTCGCCCATTGGGGGCGGTGCCCCCAATTTGCAAACTATGACACTTTCCTAAAATTTGTCATTTGCATAGGGTAAACGCGGTATATTCCGACATCGTGGGTAATTCTGACACTTCGACTTTTTACCTTTACATTAAGCTTTTTCTTAGTTCCAGGCATTTGTTGATGGTTGAAATAGTGACGTCATAATTTTGCGCGCCATACTATTGCCAAAACACTTGGTCTGGGCCACCTGGTGGGAAAATGTTGAGATCCAAAGAGAGACAGTGCACGTCACCTAGCAAGAACATTGAAAAAATTGTCAAAGTTGATAGTTAACCTTGCTCTACCAAATAGTGATACACTGTGAATGTAGAAAGAATATTATAGTTTGAGACTTTTAAATAAGTCTGTGAATATATTAGGAATCCTTTAAGTATACTTGTATTTGCTGATTTCAAGTCGTAAATAAATTAATAGATGATTAAGTTATGAGACGGTTATAGACACATAAAAACTAATTCCGACACAGCTTGGAATTAGACACACAGCTCGTTCCAAGCTGTGTGCAAAAATTAAAATTTTCTTAAATAAAAGCTTGATAGCTCTTAATTTAAAGCCTAAATGAGTAGTGTTCCATATTCAATAGTGTTCTAATTCCAAGCTGTGTTGTATTCCAATACAGCTCACAGTCCATACTGGCAAAGCAGAAAGTTTTTTAGACTCTACATCAAGTTCATTCTTTAGTCCAATAAGTAGACCAGTGCCTCACACAGCAATCGGAATTTGAACACAAGAGTGTCAGAATTACGAATTAGTAGAGTTTGAAGCACGGCTGGAATTAGTCTCACAAAATGCCTAATTTAGTCACACACAGTGTCGGAATATATGGATTTGGTAGGTTTGCATTCTAAAGGCTTTTAAATAAATCTGGCAACATTTTGTGAAGTTTCATTGTTGCTGGCGCGTAGTGCGGTGTTTGGAGTGACATAAAGCAAACAGAACTCGAGTTGCGCGTATGTTTATTTTTGTAGGGTAAACGCGGTATATTCCGACATCGTGGGTAATGCCAACACATCTCTAGTTTTTCCTTCATATTAAGCTTTGTCCTAGTTCCACGCATTTGTTGATGGCTGAAATAGTGATGTCACACCTTTGCGCACCAAACTATTGCCAAAACACTAGGTTTGGGCTTTCTGGCGGAAAAATGTTGAGATCCAAAGAGACAGTGTATGCCACCCAGTGAGATCATTAAAAAATGTGTCAAAGTTGATAGTTGACCTTGCTCTACCAAATAGTGATAAACTGTTTGTGTAGAAAGAATACTATGGTTCGAGACTTTTATATACGTCTGTGAATATACCTATTAGAAATCCTTCAAGTTTACTTGTATTTGCTGATTTCAAGTGGTAAATAAATTAATAGATGAGAAAGTTAAGAAATGGATTTAGACACATAAAAACTAATTCTGACACAACTTGAATTGGACACACACAGCTTGTTCCAAGCTATGTGCAAAAATTAAAATTTTCCTAATTAAAAGCTCAATAGCTGTTAATTAAAAGCCTAATTAAGTAGTGTTTAATATTCAATAGTGTTCTAATTCAAAGTCGTGTTGTATTCCAATACAGCTAGAACAGCGATCAGAATTCGAACACAAGGATGTCAGAATTACGTATTAGTAGAGTTTGAAGCGCGGCCAGAATTCGTCTCACAACGTGCCGAATTTAGTCACACACCACTGTGCAGAGAGTGGATGAATGTTGCAAGATCTTTGGCGATGCTTCAGTAGCAAAATTTACACCTTCAGAAGATCTTGTTGACACATTTAGATTGAAATTCTTGCATTTGATATATTTGTTAGTCTTTGGCCAACTACTTAAAAAAAAGTAAGGTTTCCGATTTGTTTGGTCGGATCAGCATGCAGTGAAGCTTGTCTGGAAATCAGTTGCAATGAATTCCCGCCAAAAAATGTAAACATCAAGCTTACAATCATATAGTTGCGGTCACATTGAAGTGGTCAGACTGCATTATCACATGTTCAGTTGACACTTGCTGTAATAAATATGGCAACACTTTGTGACGTTTCATTGTTGCTGGTGTGTAGTGCAGTGTTTTGAGAGTCATGCAAAGCAAACAGAACTCGAGTAATGCATACGGATATTTTTTTATAGTTTTTCATTTCTTGATGCATCCTTAATGTGTCGGAATATACTGCGTTTACCCTAGCCATTTATTTTTTGCTACGTCCCTAAAGTGTTGGAATATACTGCGTTTACCCTATGTAATTAGAAGAGTTCTGCTACAATGCACCAAAACCTGGAGTTATTTTACCAAAAAATAAAATTGATTCTACCACCCAGTCAAAGAAATCCCTAAGTAGGGGGTAACAAAGGCCATCACTTTTTTTGAAATTACATCAAAACTATGAGAGGCAGCAGTGTGGAATTCTAGAGGGATAATAAATTAATCAGTACACATAGCATCAGGATGGAATTCTAATTTCGAAGGTTCATATATTATTTCGATCCACCAAGACCACTTTTTTTATCCAATATCGTTATTTGAGGCAAAAAATGAACTTCTTAAAGGCTTAAAACACGTACGCTAACTTGCTCAGTTTCTATAAAGTACCTAATCACTTGGAAGTTGCAAGTCTGCACCTTTCACTCAACAATTAAAATTAGACTTATAAAAAGTATTAGTTAGTTGAAAATTTGTCTCTTAAGTTGACCGCAATGAACTAAACTTCATTAAGTAAT